TCAGTGCTGGTGAACCATGTAACCATGGTTACTGTCTAGCAACAAGGGAATACATCATCCTAACATGGTTTAAAGGGTTGTCCATTCTCTGGTTGATTCAAGACATACCCTATGATGTGAGCTGTCCAATGCTATGGCAACAGTGTCTCCATAGGTTACACTATCTGTCTTGGCAACCATGTGACTAGACAAAAACATCATCAAACATTTATTGCTAAATCACTAAATCATCAAGCAATCAAAACATAAGAACTGCTAGATACCTGACACCAGAATCATAAAAATGCTTGTGATAATCTCCCCAAAAGTAACGTTAATGATATTAATTCTGACTTTGATTTATTGGCAATTTGTGCTATTTTTCATGAATTTTGTAACAATTTTAGGAAAAAATGTACACAATGTCATGTTTTAAAATAGGATAGACTWCTTAAATTGTAGATATATCACCATGGCAGCAGTCAACTAACCTGGGATGAATTCCATCAGCTATATTCACACCAAGATAGTGAGGTTTAGGCAATGTGGTAATAAACTCAAGAGAACCACTATCAAATATCCTGTCATTACACCAAATATTGATTCATGATATCTGTGACACTATGATAATGATGATAAAACAGCAGTACCTGATAAATCCATTGTTGTARCCACATATTAGAAACTTGTCATCAGCCACCATACACAGTGCCTTGGAAGACTAACAATAATATTTATACTAAAGACTGTGCCTGTCCCTAGTTTGTTATAAGCTGACACAAATAAAAAACTAAAAAAATAGTTGTGTGCAGGAGGCTGCCTAACAGTTTGTACTCACCCCTATTTCAACAAACTTTTCCAGCTTTCTTTTAGCATTAAAGCAGCAAAGTGCTCCAGCAGTAGTGACACAGTATGTATAGTTAGAGTTATTACCAACACCACACACAACATCACAGAAGGTATGACTCCTTAACTCTCCTAGCAGACCTGCTCTTCCCTTTATTGGTAGTGTTACATCATGCTGAATAAACAAAAAAATCTTTACATAGTCCTACATGGTACCAGACTGCTTCATGGCCCACATTTCAATACTTCTACAGTGAAAAMTTCATTTAACTTGTCTGATATATTACTACCAAAATATTTCTGAACTAGTTAGACAACTRCCCAGTCTGCAGTGCTTGTTAAACTCATATTTAATAATTAATGATTAGTCCGATAAGCGCTGCCTATTTGCTCAGGTAACTAGCCTTTTAGTGTTGTAGCGAATTGAACACAAACTGATGTCASTCTTCATTAACAACAGATGATGTGCTTCCCATGTGGGATGAATATTTATTTAAAATATGGTCTGTCATATCAAAGCATCCATTCAGGAGATGAATGGAGATGAGAGGATAGACCTTCATAGTTTATCTACTTGTTGTTTTTGTCATTTATATCACTGTAATTTATCTAATGATAGATATGCAGGAGTTTTACAAACTGCTTACAACATCCATGTTGTATGGATATAACAATCACTAACCTGCAGCAGATTGTAAACCCTAACAGTACTGCCGCTCATATTGTAGACATTACAAGTGATTATAATGGGTCACAAAATCTCTGTGCTATACATAAACATTTTGATTACCTTAGATTTGGCAGAATCAGCATCAATGTACCAAAACTTGACATGTCTAACTCCTGACGTCACAAAGAAATCTCCTAACTCAGAGAACGATATAGCATATACCTAACAAGACAAGACAAACATAAAAACAAACAATTCATATTGAACTCAGAGAACGATATAGCATATA